ATCCTTGAGATACAGAACCAGCTCTCTTGAAAGGAACAGCTGATCTCATGTCATGTCCCTGGACCCATGCATTTATTCCCCCTCTGGCTCAAAGACTCGTGGGGTAATAAGCCGTTGGCCTCAGTCTCTCTTATTTCTGCAACCTCTTATTAGGACTAGCAGACCATACATAGTTGTGACTCTCCACAAAAATAAAACCGACCCCCTAACAAACAAAGCAAAAAACCACAGTATCTCCATTCCAGTCAGTGAAGTAAGCTGAAAGCATCAGCTCAGTGGTTCTGGAGGGGGGAAAGGCTGTTCTTTCATGTCACAGAAACCCTTAATTAACTGTAGGCTTATCAACAGCCAGGGGACATTCTTCTCAGAACCCCAGCCAAGCCCAGCTACTGAAATAGATTCTCCAAATAAAATAGTAAATCCTGCTCAGGAAAGCCAAGTAGTTTTTCAACACTATTTGGTAATAGTGTTAAATGGATCATAACTAGTGCATTTCTATTCCCATACAAGAGAAGAAGTGTTGGTGGTATAGGGGCCCTTCTTGAGCTGATTTATTCCATCTACACCACCATACTCCCTGTATTAGAAAACCCTCACACAACTTAAATATAACAATATTTTTCATCCACCATTAGCTGCAGCTTAGCCAGAAAAATCAACAGCAAATGAATTCTGAAAAAAATGTACTTCAAAATGTCCCACAAGTGTCTTGCAAATGAAGAGCATTAGGTTGCCACGAGGTGCCAGCAGAAACTGGAGAACAACTGTGTGAAAAGCAAACAATTTTTCTGTTAGAATTACCTGAATTGATGAAACCTTCAGAATTATATCCACTAAGAAACCAAAGCACCTAATGAAAAAACTCCAAGGTATCTAGAAAGCATGATATGATGCCCAAGGCCAGCTGCTCTTTTGCTTCTGCTCATATTTATGTGCACTATAAAAGCACATTTTAAACCCAGATATGTAATGCAAACTGAAATAGGAATTAATTTGTCATAAAGCCAAGGAAAAGCTTCAGTGTTAAGATTTTTAGAGTAGACAGAGGAAGGCCTTACATGCAAAAGCAATTTAAATCCAAATCACAGTAACTGTAGGAAGCTCTGCCTTTGTCCTCCACCTACCATACTAAGACTTTCCCACAGGGTAGAACAACAAATAGTAAATAAGTTTTGATTGCTTGGGAAAGCTGGGCAAGCAAAGTACCTTCATAACTACATTATTCTTAATCATTAAAGTCTGCTTCTTTGTTTGATACTGTATAATTATGGTACATCCCAAAGTTTTAAGACTCCTCTTTTCAATTTGCTCCCTAATAGAAAGAAATGCCGTAAGGGATGTTTCTCCAGAAACTGGTGTTGTGCTAGCAAGTAGAAATTTACAGATGGTTACAAGATATACATCAGCACCTGTATTTCCCCAAGCTCAAAAAGTGGGTATTGATTCAGGAGTGTCTTGCCTATAAATCTCAACATTAAAACCGGAAAACAGAACTCTAAATAATAAAACTGAGTACTAAGAAAAGAGAGGTCACTTCAGCAATTTGTAGGTTAAACATTAAGAAAATTTGATTTGTTACACAGACTCAGCACTATTGTATTTGCGAAAGAAAGCTTTTTGACATAGTGTGTATGGAGATATTATCCCTTTGTTTTTATAGACATAAAAAGAAATCACATGTTAATCTGTAATATTTAATACTATATATGAATTACAAAGCTGCAATATAATGTCAACTTCAGTATGCAGAATTCAGCATGAAAAGATTATTAAAATAGTAGAATGGATAATTATTTCAGAACTTCTTTCAAATGCGAGCTTTCTTGTTTTGTTGCATTTTGGTGTCTTTTTTTTCCCGCAAACTGTAAATAACTACATTACTAAGTCTAAACTTTCTGAGTAATAGTCACAGTTTTGCACAGCAATTTGGTTTTAAGATAAATAGGAAACTTTCCCCTCCCAAAAGACATTTTGTTTATGTGAAGTGCATATTACAGAAATTTTCTGGACAATTATGATCTCTTTTGACAGTTGTTTTATCCAGAGCACAGATGTTTGCCACTTAACCATGAATGTTGGCTGACCTGCCCAGATCTCCATAAAAAGCAGTTGTAACAAAGTTTGTCTGCAAATGGTTATGCAAACAGGAATCTTCATCTCATGTATATGAAGTATACCCTTTGTAATACGTTCAAAAGCACTTCTGGGAAAAAAAAAAAAGGCTCAGAATTACATGTACTGAAATCACACTGATAATGAAGTATACCCTTTGTAATACGTTCAAAAGCACTTCTGGGAAAAAAAAAAGGCTCAGAATTACACTTACTGAAATCACACTGATGACACTGATGAGGGTATAGATTATAGCCAGAACAGTATTAGCAGCTAAATCAAGATGTAGATTATTCTTTCAAAGGTCAAATTACATTGCCAATGCTCCCTCCACCAAAAAAAAAAACAAACAAGAAATCAGGAAAGCGGTGTTTATTTGTGTTTTTCCATTAAGTAAAGCAGGTAATGTAGCCTATAAAATCTTCTCCTTAGATTACCAGGTAATGTAATCCTGGGGTAAAAACACTAGGAAAGGAGTTGACCTGTCTTTTAAGTTTCAGCCGCTCAGAATGGCAGCGAGAGGCAAAGGAAAGCTGCGGTAGGCGATCACCAGACAGCCAGTGCTCATCCTAGAGAGACCATCCGAGCCCATGCAACGTACAGCTTACCATGCTACCCTCAATGCTGTCCACTCTACAATGAAGTGGGCTAGATCCCTCTCTGCTAGACCCTGAAAATGAGCACACTCTGGTTCTTTGAAGAGCTACAGGCAGAATTCCAGTTTACCTTTAAATAGTCACATTATAGCCATTACTACCAGAAGGGGCTGGAAAGTTACTGAAGCCAATTGCCATCACAATCAATTCCCTGTTTTCTTGGGAAAATGTAATCTCACTAGGGAGAAATATGAGAAAGCAATTGGCCATCTCCTCACTCTATTGTTTTACAAGAATTTATGGGTGGGGTTGAATTTTTTTTTTTTAGAGGAGACATGATTTGGGGGAAAAAAACCAAAACAAAACCACAAATTGCTCCACATCAGTTGCTGCAATCTTCCAGATTCCTTATGATCTCTGTACCTCCTAAATGGAGATAAATCTCAAGAGAACTCAAGAACAAGGCTTGTAATTTACCCAATTGTGTCTTTTTGTTTGTCTGTGCACACAAACATAATTAAGGAGTGGCCAAAAGCCAAAAGCCCACACACAGTGGCCCTGATAACCTCCCTATATTTTGTTTTTGTTGTATGCATGAGTTCATGTTTGTTTGTACCTTGTAAAATGTATCCAAAGTCTTACTTAGCACTTTTTCAATGCCTCTAGAAGGCGATAAAAATAGTTTTAAGTTACAGAACTTCAATATGTATTTTGATGGCATTAGGTTTTACATATTAACTAAGTGTTGAAAAATTATTAAAAATACATATCACCTGAGGTACTGAGATTTAGTTGCCTATTGTAAAATGAATCTATGATGACTGGATTTTAATGTATTAATTATTACCCTATTAAAACACAGTATTATCAATTTTGCAATACTAAATTATGAGATTATGCTACCCATAATTGAACAGTAAGACTGTAACATTTTAAAAATCTTGACTATGTCAAGTTTCTGCTAGAGGGTCAATGCCTTCATAGCAGTGTACTACAGGCAAAAATGCCGTCAGTTTATTTCTGAATTGTCATCATTAAAGCTACTATTTATGTATGCTGCAGGAAAAAGAATTAACTGCAAAAGTATGTAGCTTGAGTGCTTTGTCTGAAGAACATGGTAGGTGTTAGGAAACCAAACACAATTGGTTTCTTTCGTCATTATGGAACTCACTTTTTTGTAATTCAAAATGAATGCCAGACAAGAACCATTGTCACAGCATCTCAGAAGAATATAACTCAGTTGTGAGCTAAATAGATGTTCTCTTAACTGTCAAGGTTTCATGCTTATAATCAGATCTCCATGGGCAATTTTAACTTTTTCTAACAAGTAAATGGCCAGACAATGCAGCTCAGTAAGAAGGTCTGGGTACTGAAAATGTACATGGCTCATATGCATGTAAATAGGTGTTAATTATTAATGTGCAAAGATTATTTCACCAGGTTTTTTTCCCAGAGAAAATTAAAATTTCAGCCTTTTTTTTTTCCAGAGAAAATTCAAATTTCAGCAATCAAAAGATTCTGGTTCATGGCCAAAGATAATCTTCTGTGCTTCACACAGCATACACATGTAATACTGTGTATTATGTGTGTATGCTGTGTGAAGCATACACACGTAATATTGTGTTCTAAACAAGGTAGTGTCTCCTCCTTTCAGTAACTGTTACCATTTGTTATAAACTAGGCTATTTTGGGAGAGTCAGGACATAATTTAAAAATAGGATTTGTAGATAAAACTGTTTTAATTTCTAGAAGTCAAGTTCCTTTTTATTCTCACCCCAGGAGGAAGAATTGGTATTTCTAGACAGGAAGATAAAATAAATACAGCAGCAACTAAACTCTTTACAATTTGTGCGATTTTTCCCATGATGTTGCATTTCTATACATGACTTCTGATGGACAGAACACAGTGTTTTTACTGTTTAGGCAAAACATGAGAAGAGATCTTACATGATGCTCCTTCAGATGTCAACCTAATAAGTTACTTCTTGGCAAATTCTGGTGTACTGTCCTTACACCTGTTCCCAGCTGTTTCCATAAAAGTAGTACATCAGTCTTCTCTCTCTGCTGAACAACAGTGGCTTCCATAAAATGAATTCACATTTTGAACACATTAATCCAGCAGGTTTCCAGGAATATTGAGAGCCTAATGACCAACCTAACAGCAATAAAACTTATTTTTCTCTCTTAAAAATCACAAGTAATGCTGAAATTGTATGTCAGATGTTGCACTGCTTTTGTTGCTGGCACAATTTAGAATTTAAAATATGATAAGGGGGGAAAAAAGACAAGAGAAGTTTGGAGTGCAAATATTCTTTGGTTTACTCATTAAAACAAAAGGACACAGCAAACAGCAAAAACACTGGCAATTAAATAAACAGCAAATTCTTTATATGCTTCCTAACAAAAAGTCTTTGGCTGTTTGAAATGTATTAACTTCATGCTTTTAAGTACATTACAGTGTCTAGAAAGTCACATTTTTTATCCCCAATGTCAAGGCAGAGAGAAGATGAAGAAGAAAAAGGATAAAAAGTAGGAAGTAAGAAAAGAAGAAAAAAATTTATTTAAAATTCCATTTTTCCATTAGTTAAATAGTATATAACACAATGATAACATTAATTTCTGTTTCTACTCTCATTGTACACAACGCAAATTGGCTTGCAATTTATCAACTTTGGTGAATTCACATGATCATACACATCAGACTAGTATATCAGATATAATGACTCACATCTTTTCGAAAAGAATTGTGACCCTTCCAACCCAAATGATTGTTTCTATGATTCTACTAGCAGAATTCTAAAAATCTTAAGGAATTGCACAGAGAAGTCACTGTGTTTTATCTTATTGTAGGCAGAGTTAAAATTCTGTACCACAAGCAGTTTCTTGAGAATGCTCTTTCCCAGTTCAGCTCTTTTCCTGTAGCTTATTCCTCAAATAATCCCCATGTAGTCAAAGGAAGCAAGCACCTGTGCAGGTCTATCAGGATCTCTACTTGGGAGATCCTGCCTTGCAGACAGGAATTTTTCACCTCTGAGCTGGAGATGCACAAGCCTGCTGTTAAGACTCTATGTGACAGCATCACTGATTTTATTTAAAACTCAATGCTTCATAATGGCAACACTAGGAAGCTGTTATCTGTGCAGAGAGCATAAAAGATATAACTGAATCAAATATGTCTATTTTACAAGTAAATGAAAGAAATTACAGAGTGTACCATCACCATGACAGTCTGTTACCAACATTAATGGATTCTGATAGTTTAGAATTAATTCTGTAAATCTATGAAAGATGCGGATTGTCTGACGGCATATTGTTTTGGTTTGTATATCTATCTCACAAGACTCTCACTCTACTTGAACCATTCTGTTTGATTATCTTTATCAAGCTGTTTCCATAGGCAAAGCACAGTAAAAAAAGTCATGTGCAGTTTTTCTTCCAGATTGACTGTGAATAGCAACAGATAGCACACAGTAAGAAATCAATTAATAAAGATATTTAGGAAAGATTTGGTATAATGTAAAAAAACCTCTTTGCATGCTCCCTTATTCCTTCATAAATCAACAGTGTTCCATCCACAAATAACTCATAGGCAGTCACCTCTAATACAAGTACTTATATGTTCCCCTCATCTAGCATTTTGTTGACCCCATCACAAAGTTTCTGCAAATGGATTTTATAAGGTCCAAAGGGATTGTACAAGGCAGCCAAGAATTCACAATCAGAGAAGTGATCAAACACATTGTTGACGCGTCCGTGTGACTTCGCAGTTAGGTGACGCTGAATGATTTCATGCAGCAGCTCTCTACATTCATTCAAGAGTTTGGACAAAAAGTTCCTGTCAAAGGTATAATCCACTTGATGGAAACTGACCACGGTCTTAGCCAGCTGATGGACCTTCTTCTTGAATTTCTCCATCAGTGCTATTTCCTCCTGATTAAACTGGTTGTTCCTGTAGAGAATTGCCAATTTGAGGACTATTTTAATGAGGTTTTTGATGATCTTCTCTGCTTCTTTTTTATTTTGTGTATATTCCTTTGTTACTCTGTAAAGCTCATCTAAAACATCACTGCTTGTATCATCAATCAAAGTAGTTGCTATTGATTTGGACACCATTTTTCCAAGGATCTTCTTCTGGGCCTGAATGGCCAGACTTTTGGAGTTGAAGACATCTGTGGCCACTAGAAGAAAAAAGTGTGCAGTCAGTACTTCCAAATAGACAGTCTCTGGACAGCAAGTTGAGGCATATTTCTATATTAATACATTCACAATAGTCTTACTAAGTGCCACAAAAATAATGCAACATAGTTGCAGAAAAAAACCCCATCTTTAAATCCCTAAAATGCTATTTCTTTAGGTTTACATTCTTTCAGACAGTTTTACTTTTGTGAAAATACCAACTGAACTTGCTCAGAAATGGTTTAGAAGCTCTCTCTATATATAGATTGATGGAATTTTAAAATGAGGCAATAAAACTGCCCTATTTGATCAGATGAGTCACAAATCTAATCTGATTCTCACTTTCATAATGAAATCTGAAACCAGGATTATTTCAATGCCATGAAAAATAACCACTGCTACTCAAATAAAGATAATAATTCAGTGAAGCAATATAAAGCCTTTTCCTGCTTAGCATTTTACATGATCAGTGAATGCAGACATCAGACATTAATTTTTTAAAAGATATCTATTTTGTACATATCTATAGATATCCACACAGAAATACTAAAGAAATACAAAATACCATGGTCAGCAAACAACACTGAGATTCTCTGGATGGAAACTGAAGACACTGGTTTTCAGAAGAAAAGCAAGTGCAGATTAACATTTCCATGTCCTATACTTTTTGCAGTAAAAGCAAGAGATTTATTTTCTAGCGATTGTCATAACAATTGTGAGCATAACCCTTTAAAAATATCTTTTTGTGACCAATGAAGTAGATCCTAGACTACATTTCCAGTTCTAAAACTATGTTTGATTGCACTAATACATCCATTGACTGGTTCGTACTTTTGTTCAAAAGAACAAAAAGTCCTTGTTAGAAGACCCCAAACAATCCTTCAGAAACTTGACTTGAAACGTTATCACTTGTTCTGTTGTCAGTTACAATTTTTTGACACATGTGAGCTGATATTTGCAGATAGAATTGTCTGGGAAACGGCTGCTTTTGTGCTGCAGCTCTCCTGGAGTCTCAGACAGGGGGAAGGAAGACTACATCTGTTTACATTTACTATACGTATGAAAGGTTTGCTTAGCAAACACAGGGACTGGAAATATTTTCTTCTTTTTTTTTTTTTTTTTTTTTAATGAAAACATCAACTCTGCAGATGTCAGACAGTAAGTCCCTGAATTTGGAAAAGGTTTCCTCCTAACTGCTGGTATGTGGGCAGCTGGGTGTGTTCAGACTAAGGGTGCCTCAGGGGTTCCAGCAAATAGAAGAAACTTGTCCTTCAGGACATGAAACACAAATCTGTATTTTTAATTCAAGAGTATCTTTGAGAAACTTAATAACAAGCTCCTTTTTTATCATCCCACAAACCTTCAAGCAGGTTTGTTTGTTGCAACTTTCAGTGCATATCATTATTTTGTTTTGTAGCATGAAATGTCTGAGCACATTTTTTAAAGTCTTTACTACCAGAGGACACTCACAAACCAAAGAACCCCTTGTTAACTATCTCAGGCAAAGCTCTCAAGATCACAAGACAGACACACTTCTCAACCACAAAGATACAGGAAGACATTAAAGATGCTGAGCAGTCATTTTGAACTGAAAATATTTGATTTTTCTTTCTGTGTTAAAGCTAAAACTGCAATGGTTACTATTAAAGTAAAACTAATCCATGTTTTCCAAAGGATGGTCAAATACCAGAACTCAACAGCCAATGCTTTACAAAGATCTACGGAAAAATTATAACTTTCTTTCTCTTCCAGGAGAAAACAGGAATATCAACTATTAATAACTTTTATTAATTAAAGTCTTCTTAGTAATGGTCATGATGTCTTCTTTGTGACACTCCACATGGATATGGATGTTCCTACTAACAGCAGTTACTTTTTGGCAGTATGCTAAATATTTTACAGTTTTTCAACAAAAAACCCCTCTTATATTACGTGATTTTACATTTTACAAAGTACAACTCAACACACAGTTACCTTTGCTAACCAAAAGAGGAACTGCTCCATTTCAAAAGCTGCCGAACTCTTAAGGTATTTTTCCAATATCTGTCCGAGTTTTAGGGCTATCCAGCATACTTATGCGCTTTGCTACTTACAGCAAAGTAGATACTTTCTATCTTTGCTGTAAGTACACCAGATGTTAGTTTCATTTTCCCTGTGCTGTTACATGGGTTCTAATTTAATTGTTAAATATGTAAATTTCATACTTCAGTATTTCAGCCAATCCAAAAAAGGAACTTGCTAAGTCTTTGTAGTTTATAAGCAGAATTTTTCCTCCTTACTAATGACAGAAAGACTTAAAATTTGTTTCACAGCTTGAATAACACTCAGTTTAAGCAGTAAGAGTATAGAGCTTCTTCAGAATGGACAAACATACTTCCTTAAATAACAGTAAAGCTATTACTTACTTGTTCATCTCATGTAATTGCAGTTTTTAGTGCTGCCAGCAGAAAGAGAAGCAAAACACCCAAGGTGAAGACTGGCCTGTGGCGTATTTTTTTTGGTAAATGCAGCGCACACTTTATCGTGTGCTTTGAAACATTGTCAGAATCTAACACAGAGAGAATATGGAGTTTTCCTCCTCCCCGTAAGGGCAGCTCTTCTCAGCTACCTTCCTCTCCTGCCTGCAGTGCTTCATTTTGCTTTGGCACCCCAACATGCAAAAATACATCTCAGTGGTTTCACTTCCTCGAAGAGAGCGCTGAAAGGAAATTGCAGCGCCGAGCAAGCAGTGCAACACCGAGGGCTGTTCCTGCCCACTGACAACTGGAACAATTCACAGACAGGGAGGGAGAAAAAAGATCCTGTGACTCCAGAGGACAGGTGATGTGTCAAGAAAAGGTTTTAAAACATTGACCTGGTATCTGCAAGTGGAGATGCTGATCAGTGTATCAGAGGTGCCTGTCTCACAGGTTGTGCTGGGGAGGGCAGTGCTCCCAATGCAAGGGCTGCCAGGCACCCCGTTTCAAACTTCTGACTGCAATTTCAGATACCAGCACCTGAAAATGCACTTTTATACAACTACTTGAGGATGACTGTATGTAGACACGTTTTGAAAGTGATTATAGTAACTGGCCTGGATGTCTGACCACATCTTCTGTGTTGACAGGTTACATCCTTGCACTTTATACGGAAATAATGTCATTTCTCTGGTGACCTGCAGGTAATCCCATTAATTTTAAGCAGCTCACAGTTTGGTTTACCTCATGGCTGCTCTTTATAGCTCCAATTTCTTTCCTCTGCAGTTTTATACTTTACTTTTTAAAAGGTTATCATCAAAAAATACCTCTTTGAAATCAATGGGATGTCATTTGCTGCACAAACTACTCAAGTAAGCATGATTATGTGCAGTGAAGCCATGCCTCCACAGAAGAAAGTTGTCCAAGAGGAAAGGCTTTCGGAGGAAATCCTGCTTCCATTACTTTGAAACTCACAGAATCAGTCTTGGGAATAATACAGACATCTGCAAAATTTCCTAATTTATTATTTAAATGAGCAAACAAGGTGCTAGAGACAGCCTCCTATGAAAATCATGAGCTTAGTGATTATGAAACTTTTTGATTTTCATAGCCAAGCACACAGTATATGTGTTTAACATTGTATTTTGCATATTAAATTAATAAATACTGGACATGTAGAATGTCCAAATATTTTACTATACAGAGGTTTTCCTTAAACTGGGGTGGAAGTGTAAACTTTCAGTGAAAATTTAAAATTGTGGTTAATAGACCCCCAGGAGACTGCTATAGAAGTACAAGAAGGCTCATACTTAAGGCTGCAATGCTGACTTTTCCCTCACATGGAAGCTAGCACACCTCCCTCTGTACTGTGGCAAATGAATATTACACTATTGCCACATACCCTATGTCTCAACTTTATTTAAATTTAAAAAAAAAAGGTAGTATTTGGAAAAAAAAAAACCAGCTTATTTTCTTCCACAAGACAATAGTCTATGGTAGATTCAACATCACTTGCAGCTGAGTGTATGCAATCTCATGTACACTGACAATGAATACTTGAGTCAAAGAGTATTTTTAAACTTCACATTGTGAAGGAGCAGGGGAAAAAAAAAGCATCCAGCAAAAAAATTACAGTGAACCAACATAAATTCCATAGTCAAGAGTTGAGCTTTCTGAGACTCACTGTGTTGACAGAACAGTCCCAAAAGAAAAGAAAATATGACTGTGAAACACTGCTCCCTGAGACCCAGTTCTCATTTTAGTGACGGGAACATCACGTGCTGCACAAGACCCAAAAATGATGAGGGTTTTTGGGAACAAAAACATCAACATGGGCTTGAGAGGAAAGGGACAGCACTGACTGAGGGCTTCAGGCAGCATTTAAAAGACTATTACATAGCATTGAGAAATGTGGGAATGGACTTCCTGCCGGGAATCCTGTGTGGATGTGTGTGTTTGCCTCTCTACAGACTGTAGAGCTAAAAGCCTGCACATGCCATACAAATTGCATGTTCAGTCAGACTCCTGTAGTGAAAGAGCACTATTTCCCTGGAGGGTGGCAACTTAAAATCAAGTGGAATTAGTGTTATGCTCTCTGAGTGTATGTGACCATGAGTCATGCACCTCCAAAATCATGAGATTGCCTAGATATGAAGGAATAAAAGAATTACTGAATTTTTAATCTTATTTTTGCCTTCTGCTTTCTGGGTCTTCACATATCTACTCTTGTTTTCAGGAATGTCACAGACCAGAAACATAATAAATACAGAAGCATATAAATATATTAATTCAGATATAAATACATGACTTCAGTAAGGTAAAGCTGCAATGGTGATAAACTACAAGACTAAGTACCAGTGAATAAACAAGTTCTGAGGTACAAAATAGGAATAAATAGTTACAAACCTGTTACCAGGGCTGTAACAATTTTCACAATTATTATACTCATTATATGTCAATATGATTAAAAAACTTGAGTGGTAGGATACAGACTATGAAGTCTTCAGATATGAACAAAGTAAGTTGATTTTTCTAGCTGCCAAATGATATATATAGCTTCTTCTTAATAACCATTTGAGTGAGTCACAGTTTCAAAAAGGTTTTTTAATGCTGTTTTCTTTTTTCTATTTTAAGAGAAGAGTCAGTCTTTTGATTCTTATCTCAGTGCTTCAAAGTCTCCTGGGTAAAAGGTATGCTAAAATCCTTACAATCCTTCCCAAAATTCTTCTAGAATTCCTTCCAAAAATACAGCAGCTCCCAAATGGCCACTTCAGCATATTGGCCAGTCTCCACATTCAAAAGCATTTGTTCACTTATTGGCTTTTCAAAAACTGGTGAAAACTGAGGTTTGTACCGGACATGCAAGACCAGAAACACTCTGAGAGCTTTCACTCTTCAGCCTCAGACACTGGCACTGCAACTTCACAGCTGGCTGAGGGCAGGAGTGGGAAGAGACCAGGAGAGCCACAGAGTTTATTGATAGAAGGACGTCAGTAGGGCACACGGGTTGGGCAAGCACCACCAGGCAGTGGAAAACCCAGGCAGCAAATGGCCAAGTGTAGAAGGCGGAATGAAAAAAAAAAAAACTCAAACAAGGGCCCTGTACAGTACTTGCTTCTTTCACATGCACCTCTACTTTTTTAATTCATGTACATGAGGTCCTTATTGGAAGATCAAATATTTTACTTGGCACCTTGCATTTAAAAAGAGGGATTTATATACGAATACTGATTTTAACTAGGAAACAGTTTTAACTAAAATTTTTAATGCATACAAAGCATTCTTTCATGAGTAACATTTGCCTACAGTTCTCCTAACAGGTAAAGTAAATTGTACTAAATTCTGTCTTGCCATAATTGTTACCAACTGAGCATATGACGAGAATGCTAATTATTCAAGCAACATGCACTAGTTCTAGTATTCACACTGGAAGACCTTCAAAAGGAAAAACACCCCATCTGAAGCCAAGCTTTATGCATGGCAAATATTGCATGAGCAGTCTTACTGGATCTGGAAGTCAGCTATGAGGCTGCAAGTCACTCTGGAAAAACAGTTAATCAAGCAATTTCAGGAAAAAATATGGCTAATTAAGCATTTTTGAATATACAGAGTATGTCTGACCTGCATACTCATACTGAAAGTGAGCATATATTGATCTACAGAAAATGGGAAAAATAAAAGACAGCAAACAACATTTAGAATAGCTTCTCACCCAATAAAATGCTCAGTAAGTCATTGCAATATATGTTTGCAAAACACATGTGATACTGTTATATGCTTCTGGATTTTGCTATTTAATTCTAATATTAGTGTATTAAAATGTCCAAAATTTTACAAACCACAAAAGATGATCCATATTCTAGCTGCAAACCAAAACCAAGCCATTAAAAAACCCCAGAAAATAAAATACTTTTTTTTGTTAAGAGGTGAAAAGAATTGCCAAAAAATGTACCTGAAGTTTAAGTCTGGGTAGAGTAGCAAGGAATTATGCTATTTCCAATAAGAATGTTGCAGAGTTTTGCAGTCCCATGGGAGCAGTCAGTGCCAACAAGTTATTCTGGTTTTACATGCTTGTGCTTCCCACAGCCAGCCTATGCATCGCATGATACATATACTGTAGGTGATTTAGAAATTTTAAAAAGTCTCCTAAAAGATATTTTCCCCAAACCTCTGCATTTGTTTTCATTAACAGTGCAGCTTTAAAATCAAGGGGAAAAAAATCAGATTAACTTCAGATGAGTGCTCTCAGAATATTTCAGAATACAGTGGATATTAAACCAAGAAAACTACAGTCACAGAGAATAATGTCATGAACTTAATTTGGTATTTCAGTCTTCTGCCACCATTTGTTATCCTTGTTGGAATGTAACAACTGGTGCAGTGCTGTTAAGTACACAGCCTGTATATTTCAGCTGTTGGTCTTTTCAGGGCTGTATCAGGTTCCTCTGTATCTACCAAGTGTCCATGCACAGTGAATAATAAGGCTGACAAACCTTTTCACAGGAAATTAAACGTATCTTATGTCATTCCTTCCAATCAATCAAATGCAATGCAGGTACTCTATATTTTGTCCAGCCTTAGAAATACAAACCAAACTGCATCAAGGCAACAGTGCCAAGCTCCTGAACCCAAGTGGCACTCTAAATTTGAAATTTAAAAAAGTGGTATCTAATTGCTCTTACAATCATCCTGGCAAAAAGAATTATTTCTCACAAAAAATTAACCCCAAAACACTTAGCTGTAGGCACAGGAACTACATACATATAAAAAAAAAAAAAAGAGTTCCTGGCTTCAACACAGAAGGAAAACCTCAGCGGCCAGCAGCTGAGGAGCACTTGGAATGCACTGGAGAAAATTAAACTTGATATGTTGCAAAAATACAATGAACTGGAAGGTCCAAATGAGATGCCAATCTGGCATGACAGAGACAGGTAACTCAATCACAAGGCATATGTCACAGCCTGGCCATTAAAATGCAAAGGGCATGTATATGAATCACATGTAAAGAGTCAAAGCAGAGGCTTCAGAGTTCAAATGACACAGAAGTCTGTGAGGGATCTTACAACGTCTTTGAAACTTGTTAATAATGTTTTTCCTGTATTTCTAGTTCTAGCTCTCTGTTCTTCTCCCTGTTGATCTGTAGCTACACTGTCTGTTTCTTACAGAGAGGATGGGACTCCCTCAGTATTTGTCTTTCATTTTAATGTTTAAAGCAGGCTGGATTGCTACCATTAACTTTATGTGTGTATATATATGTACACATATATATATAAAACTAACTTCTGAGGCACTGAAGACTACCACAGCTACAGGCCAGCTGCATAAAATCTAGCAGTCTAGTCAGGGCTTTCAGTTCTCAGGTGTCAGTTTGGTATATTCATTTGCAATATCAACATTGAAATGTAGATTATAAAGAATACACAAAATTATACCATCTAAGAATTTTACTTATCAGATATCGGCTGTTCTTTAGGCCTAACACACTAGTAGCAACCTTCATCTCTTTTTCAGTTTTTAATTTTTTACTACCCTTTTTTTTACTAGAAAGGATAAATTTTATGGAATTCAATGCATGGCTGTAGAGACAATATGTGCTTTGTCTGCCTTCCATACCACTCACTCATGGCAATTTCCATGATTATGGAAGACTACAACTGGTGGCTGAAATGGCAATTTTTTCTGCACACCTAACATGTTTACTTTCCTATTCCACAAGGAGCAAAATGAACCAACTGCTAAGTTTTAAGTTCTTTTCCCATTATTTAGTAGCTACAGCCTGTTTCCTCTGTATCCATACTAACACAACCTTTATCCAAACATGCAGTCATGAAACAAGATGTTGAGTCTTTTCTCTTCTTCACTTCTCTTCTCCCTCACAGGCTCTCCAAGGCCCAAGCACACAGTTATCTTCCAGAGGCTTAGCTTTGTCTCCTCTTTGTTTCCACTAGTGCCACCCAAACCCACCTTTAAAATATTTGACTTAACAACAACAACACAACAAATTAAACATAATTTAAGACTGTCAAAA